ACCCTAGAAATCTTAAGCACTGCTTGCAATGAGAGTAGTTCAGTATATTTTCTCACTGCTGCTGGCAAAGCAGGTGAGTGTGACTAGCAAGAGAAAATATGGAATACAGAAGCAATTTTTCTCAAAAATTTTTTTTGCTATTTGAAGGAAGCATAAAAAAGCCCTTGAATTTTTTAACATAAGGTACACAATTGCTTCATGTGAATGAAAGGCCATTTGGCTTCAAAAACTTCAGTTATAGAGCAATTAATTCACCTGTGTTTTGCAATCTATTTCAAGATTACATATTTCAGATTCCCCATAACTATAACAAGCCCAGAGGTTCATTTGCCCTGCAAAAATGAGGCAGAGCAATAAATTTAATGCAAAAAAAAATAAAAATGCAGTGCCTGTACACCATGTAATAGAGTATCTTCCGTGTGTCAAACATATGGCATGAGTAATTCACAGTCATACACTCAAACACAAAAAGGCAACTGTCAGCTGGTGCATTTGTGTACACACACGTGCCAGGGCTGTAAAACCAGAGCAAGGAAAGATGGTGAAGAGATATTTTTACCTGTTAATTTTTCTGGTCACACGGCAGTAGTAAAATTATTACTGATGTTACTGTTATTACTAACAATTACAATATTATTAATGAAGCATGAAAGTGAGGCGAAATGGAAAGTAGTGGAATTGCTGGGCTCGGAGGATTGTGATCAGTGCCACAAAATTCAGCTGGGAATGTTACTAATTGTGCACCCCTGTTGATATTGGGTCCATTTTCCTTAAAGAGCAGAATAACAGGACTGAGGGCACCCTCAGCGAGTTGGCTGAGAATATGAAATAAGGAGCAGAGTTGCTGCCATTAAGTGGGTCCTCAACAGGCTGGAGAAATAAAGTTCAGCATAAAGAAATACACTTTCTTCACCCAGGGAGACATAACTCTGTGCACTGGTTAAAGTCTTGGGACCAACCACAGGGGAAGAATGGGCATTGAAGGATGGTGAGCAAGAAGATGAACATGAGTCAGCGAAGCGCCCGTGCAGCAATGAAAATCAACACTTTCTGTGTTAGGAAGAACAGTGCCAGCAGGCTGAGAGAGATGGTCCTTCCCCTCAGCCAGTGAGGTCACATCTGGAATACTGCCTCATGTTCTGGGCTCCCCAGTACAGAAGGGACAGGGACATATTGGAGTACATCCACTATGTACATCCAGGACACAGAGAAGATGTGGGTCTTGGAGCACCTGTCACATGAAGAAAGGCAGGAAGAGCTGAATTACTTTACCTTGGAGAAGGCTCAGGCGGGATCTTAATCAGTATTTATAAATGCTTGGTGGGAGAGAGAAGCCAATCCTTTTATAAAAGCAAATATTATGAAAAAGGAAATTCAGAATCCACTGTCTCCAGATTTAAGTAAAGAATGTGATATGGTATCACCCAGCAATTATTTACTGAGTAGGAAATAAAAGCATAACACGAAATTGCTATAAGGGTGACTAGTGGTAACATATTGAATGGACTTCTTTAAAATCATTCTTCACACTCATCTTATTACATGTCTGTAAACGTGGTGAAAAGCAGAGGTTTTTTGATAAAAAGTGATTATAGGGAGCCCTCTTGATATAGGGGAGGTTCTTGCTAACTTACAGAAGAAATGGGAGCATTTGCACAGGCATATTAGAAATGGCAAAACCTTTAGCAATTCTTCAAAGCCACCTAATTATGAATATCAGAATCTCTGTGATTATTTCTGTGATGGGCTCTTGCCATTTGAGAGCAACACAAAAAGATAAATCACACACCCATGTTTACTATTAACAGATTAAAACAATCTGGCCTATCTGTAAAACAAACTTGATACTCACCACTGTCTGACAAAGTGTTTTCAAAAGGCTGGGTGGAGTGTTAGCACTCTTATTCAAGACTTTGAGCAAACACTTCAGGTACAAGGTTCAGAATTCAGGAGAATCAAGTTACTTGTCTCTGTACCTTTCTATTTATTCTGCTTTGCCAGGCAGACTAAAAGGTGCTTGCTCTGCTTGTTTGATCCTAGCACATAAAAGCTAAGGAAGACACATGATCGATGTTTATAATTTATTGAGGGCTACACACTGAGGAAGGAATTGGTTTTAAATAACAATATTGAGAGATTAAAAATTAAAAATTAGGAATCAAAGAATATATTTAGGCTGAAAGTTCAAAGAAAGCTCTGAGCATTAGGAGAAAGGTTTTGAAACATCTTTGCACAAAGACCAACAGGGCAATGTACTTAGACTGTGATGAGTTTGTGACTGAAATTAGATAAGATTGTTATCTAACTCAGAAAGATCTTTTCTTCAGCCCTGAATTACTACAGTGATCAACTACTCCCTGTTCTGCTCCCCTTCTTCCCAGACTTCTTGCTCACACTCTTCCCACTAAAGTTCAACAAGGGCTATGAGAGGACTTCACACAATTTTTTGTCCAAAAGAGAAAACAATCTTAAGACTTCAACTCCTACCTCTCTAGTTTAAATGGTTTTATAGAATATTTCATCAAAGCAGATGACTAGAAGATCTTGAGATCAGCAGATTTAATCAGCAGCTAAACAGAGCAGTGCACTACAAACATACAGAAATTATATTGCCTCTTTGGGCCTTCATTAAATATTTGTCCTCCTTGGCAGTTTAATGGATTCCTGCATACTATATAAACAGTCAAGAGGGAATTTGATTGCATTCAAAGCAAGGACACCTCAAACACTGTCACTGTTCAGAATCATGTAATTTAACCTGTCTGTTAACACATACAAATATCCTCCACCCTTCATAACCTGGTACTTCTGTGTTAATCATTGAACAACCCATTCAGAAGTTTTCCATGGCAGTGGGTAAAGCAAAAACAGCTACAGAAAATAGAGAGGGCATATTCACATGACTACAGCTACTGGCCAGTTGTCACGTAGTTATTAGTATAGCAGTAAGTGAACATTGAGCAACACTGCAGACAACAGCTCTTCTCCATTCAGCTCCTTTCAAAGCTGTGTCCATCAATAAGCAAGCAACTCTGTGGTTTCTTGACCCAAAAACCATGCTCAAAAAACTTGCTGCAAATGTTCAAAATGTAGGCAGGTCTGTCATTCACCGACCCCACAATCCCTTGTATCAAACACTTTGGTGGCCACTATTGTGAGGCCAATAAAGTCTGGTGAGTGTGAACACATTTCCCCACCTCCCTCTGGCTGACAAATGACTTTTTTCATTTTGCTTCAGAAAATAAGTATGTTTTTCCAATATAAGTCAATCCAACGCTTGACAGCCAAAAAAATGTACTCTAGACTGAAATTTACACAGTGACTTCTATTGTTCAAACCCCAAATCAGAACTCCCATATTTAATTTACGACTTACAAGGCCAAAGCACTGGCCAGAAGAATGCCAGTTACACAGAAAAAATAAAAAGTGTTTCTATTGTAATGGTGTCTCAGAGCAATAAATGTTCACTAATTAATAAATTGTGGTCACTTTGTAGACTGGTGTCCATGACAGAGTTTCCAGTTAGAGACACAAGATTTGGAAAAGAACACAAATTATTCTCCTGTTCCAAGTTCAAAGATGAACTCCACTTTTATTGACAATCATTTGACCTTTACCATCTGGTGTCAAACCAAATTCCTAACAACTGAACCTCTTTTAATTGGTTGGTTATAGTCTAGACCAAGCCTTCCACCTTAAATGCCGTAAAAATGCTGTATATCTGACTTTGATTTCATTTAACAATGACCTGCAGTCTTGGATTTGACAGAAAGACTTGATTTCCAAATGTTTTTCCCCACCTGACTAGTCTCCTTTTAAGTTTTTGTCTTTTTATTTCTGTCTTGTGCTTATTTTTGTCTCCCTTATTTTGTTGCTATAGAACAGTGATATGAAAACTTCTGCATCCAGGCTTGCTTTCAAAGTAAGCATATTGAATGGTTAGCCTGGCTCATATGTTCTTGCTTACCTCACAGATTTCTGTGTTATTATTAGTTTCTTCTACTAGCATAGCATCTTTTGCCACACACATACACACACTTTTACAATAAGCTCACAACTTATGAAACTTGCAAATCACACGTGCTATCAAAACACACAAACTCCTTAATTCCCTCATTCTGATGCAATGTACAGGATCCATCTATAAAACATAACATCTTTTTTAATCAAAAAGCAATATTTTTACGTAAGTGGAACAAAGGAATAATATTTGCCATTTACCGTTGTGTCAAAAATACGCTAGGCTGCCAAAGCAATTAACCTTAATCAAAATTAGTTCCATTTGAAATTACAAAACCTCAGCCTGCTTTTATCAGCAACAAACCTAGTGAAATACATGAAAATTCACAAAACTAAAGTATGAATAATGTCTACAACATGAAACCATTATCTCATCAGAAAAGAGCTGTCATTTTGTATTTTATGGTGAAATACCTGGCACACAAATAACACAAACATCTTATTGAACTGTAGGTCTCTCCAGTTCAGTTCATTTAGCAGGCAAGTGTCAAGAACTATTACAATATCGCCTTAGAGGAAGTAAGTGAAATTCTTGGAAGTAGCTTATGATATTTTTTAAAGCTTTTTTTTCAAAGGTTTGAAATAATCAAAGCAGACATCACACAGATTTTAGTTGCTGCAGTTGAGAAAGTCAACATTTTCAATGGAAGTTATGCTATCCCTGGTCCAAGTTTTCCCCATCCTGTATCACAGAAAATATGAGTTTGTACACACTAAAAACAGAAAGTTAAAAACAGCCTGGTTATTCTCAGCCTTTCATGTGTGGCAAAAATAAGAGGACATACATGATTATAAAGCACTGTCCTTACATTCCACCACCTCCAACTCTGCAAGAGATTTCAGGCTGTAATGTGTAAATCATTACTACATGCTCTAACAGTACTTTCTATTTAATCAGGAGAGAAGAAAAATCCCCTCTAGAATCACAACAAATAACTACAGTTTTTGTTTTAAATTAAATGATGTAGTTTATATCTGACCTGAGTTTCAGTCTTTTCCTAGTGGGAAATATAAACGCAGCATTTGGATACATAATCCTACAGCTCTCAGAAGAAGCCGGCTCCACCGCGAACACTTTACATGATTTATAGCTCTCCTCCACATTCAGATGACAAGTCTCGGCGGAGCAGGTGCAACGAGGTTTATTTTCCTTCCTTCAGACATCGTTCCCTCGTATGTAAATTAATTAGCAAGTCTTCCTCACTTTGGCGTAAGCGGGGAAGATGAAGCTAATGGAACATCAGCGTTTGGTTTCTCACGAGGAGCGGGCGACCCGGCGGAGGGAGGGAAGGAGGGAGGGAGGGAGGGAGGCAGGGAGGGGGCTCGCTGTTGTTNGGAGGGATGCAGGGATGGAGGGATGCAGGGAGGGGTGGATGCCGCGGCAGCGCTCGGCTTCCCGCGGGTGCCCGTGCGCTGCCCGGTGTGAGGGAGGGCGGTGTCTCCCCGGACAGGTCCCGGCCGGCGGGAGCGCGCTGGGAGCCGGCCGGGGAAGAGCGAGGTAACCGAGCGAAGTTGGGAAGGCTCCGCTTCACGAAGCGGGCAGCAGGCACCGCTCAGCTGGACGCTGGAGCATCCTCGGCTCCACGGGCTGCGGGCGGCAGCTGCAGCCCCGCCGTGTGTCCCGGCTGCCAGCGGCCCGGAGCCCCGAGCTGCCGGCACGGAGGAGCCAGCCGGGCAGTACAGGCATCCCGGCCATCCGTGGGGTCGTGATCGCGCTAGCAGGACTAAGCTCACTTGCACAAATGTGTCCGAAACCTCTCCTCAGCCTCGGTGAAAACGCCTGCTCGGCCCCGCGCCAGTCGCTGGAGCCAGGATTTTCCATGGAACACATCATTGGTGTCCATGGGAGCTTGCCTTGGTCCGCTGAGACAGCGACACCGGCTCCATCCCCAGCCCTCCTGCACAGAGCTTTGCTGCCCTCTCTTCTGAGGGCAGCGCTGATTTCTTCAAATACCATTTTTTAAGCTAGCGGTACGCTGGACTTTGAGTTTCTTCACAGAAGGGGCAAAAGACTTTAAGTGTTTCAGAACAGCTGTTAAGTGCAGGAAACTCTTTGCACTTCCCTGCCATCATTTTCCACTCCAAATATAGGCAGAAGTCCTGTGAGTTCATCATCCCCCTCCAATATTTAATACAAGGTGTACTTTACAACACCGAGCAAGACACCACCTTACCTTCTTAGGTAAGTGGGCTCATCATCCCTAGTCGGGGGATGAAATTTGTGTAGAACAAATGATTTACCTACTTATTCATCTATAAAACCAGGTTTGCCTACCTATTATACTCTGAGGGAATGTATTTGAATAGGATATTACTGTGGTATTTCTTATTGTTCATGTTCCAGGAGCAAAAAATCACCTCTTGTAGATTTTAGATTATCAAAGAATCTTCAAGCTGACACAGCAATATATAGAGATTTCCAAGTACCAGACTGAGTTCATAAGATTTACATAGAAAGATCCCCATATTGTCACAAGCCCTAAGACAGGTGATCACAGGCAAAGGGGTTTAAAGCTGTGAAAGGATGAAGAAGAAAATAAATTAAAAAAGTAGAGCAGTTTTGCCCGAAAAATTCATTCAGATGACACATTAACTTTCCTTTTGTGATATGCTGTAGATTTGTGTTACTCATACACAAGAGTAATTAACTCCACAGTTAAGGCTGTGTTGTGGTTTGCACTTATAGAGGTACTAAAAACGTCTAGGTTCAAATACTTGAATGCTGCATTTAGACTACACAGCACAATAGCACATAAGAATTGCAGCTGAATTTTCTTTCAAAAATAAAACTTACTTGCCTTCTTGCCTGTAGAGAAAAATCTTAATTGTCCTCTTTTTCCAGATTTTCCCATTTTCATCTGTGAATTCTGGAGGTTTCTGTGTATATTAGAAGCCATTCTTACTGTAGGAAAAGAACAGAAATAAAGCTGTTTTTGAACATTTAAAGTTAAGCAGAAATAGGGAACACAGACTGTATCCACCATATTACTTCATTGCACTTGGTACTGGTGCTCCAAGATAATTACAGAACAGTAGATTGAATTGTTCTACCTATTTTTTTTTTTAAAGAAGTATTTTATCAGAATCAAACGTTTCCTGCAAAACTGAATGTAGGCATCTGAAAAAGTAAAAAACTGGAACTTTATTAAAAGCTCTGAATCACCAATCCAAAACTCTGCTTTTTAGTTGACATTACCTAATATCTTCTGTAATCCAGTGCTTCATTTTAAAATCAGTTCATTTCGCTCTTCCTAGTGAAGGCAGTGCCTGAAATCCTAAGTATTATTCTCTTCTGTTCACCTAGTGATATATTTATGTACAACACTCACATTTCCTTCAACTGAAACAGATCCTCTTTCATCCTCTTTCCATAAATCAAGTTCTGGATTTCCCTGATGATGTCTATGACCTATCACAGTTTGAACTATCAATTTTTAAACTGGCAGATAGACAAAGTTTTATACATGGCATTCCAGTAAGCTCTTACAAGTAATGCCCACAATGGTCTCTTCACACCCATTAAAACACTGATAAATGTGGGCTTTGCCTCACTTTCTTTCTTGACTTTCCTATGTAGATAGGTTTCAGTTTTTCCTATGCTCAATACCAACAAAGCCTTCTCATGCCATACAACTTTTGACTCACAAATTACTGGATTATACCAAAAGTTTTTATCAGGCCCTGGTGCATAATCTTGAATGTTGTTATCCTACAATACAGTGGCGTTTCTTGGCTCCAGTGTTTTGTGTGTTATTATTATTGACAAGCTGCGAGTCAACAGCAAATTACTCATTTTCTTATTTTCTAAGATTATTAATGACTTTATTAATGGATACAGAAATAAGAACTGAGTCTTAACAAACCTAGCAAATTCCATTTATTGGTCTCTTTTCAGCATAAACTCTCTTCCTTTACAGGTCCTTCACAATTTTTATACAGGTTTTCTTGTCTTCCATTTCAGTAGTTGCCCACACACAGATGATTGCTTCCAGGTTACTAACATTAAACTCTGAAGGAAGCAAAGGTGTTAATGAGATGGTGTATGAGGTGTCTGCTGTTACAGAGTTTGGGATAAAGATGTAGTATAATTAAAAATGAAGGAGAAAAACAGTAATGAGTAGCCTGGTAAAAGTCCAGTCTATCTGCTATGCTACATTTCCAAGTTAAAAATGGCCAGCTACTACAATCCAAAGAAAAATCACCATGGCTAGTGAGGGAGAGAGTGGACCTATTTTCTGTGCTTTTCAGTCTTTTCTTCTATTTTTGGAAATTCTCCAGGTTCCTTATTACAGAACTCTATTGCCTGGGCAATTTTATTCATGTATTTTCTCAGCAAGAGTGGTAGAACTACATAACTACCAAAGTATGCAAAACTTCAAAGCCTGGTTTTCTTATATTATTGTTATTTATTGAAGTACAACTTTATGTTTCTACAAAATGGTTAATATCTTTGCTGATACCTTATTGGTATGAAAAGATGGATGCATAGTTTCACTACTGCAACATCTGAAGTTATATGGACACAGATTCATTAAAAATATTTCAAGTAATTTTTTTTAATATTGTGAATCAAGTTTCAGTGCTGCCACATCTACATGTTTGGTCTTGGTGTATCTCTGTCTAAGACTTGAGATGAAATCTCAATCACACAAAAATCAAAGAAATTCTGCTAGTTAATTCATCAGAGCTAGGATTGCATTCACTGAATTTTCTCTGAGGCTTCACTTGACATGAAATATCTAATTACAGTAGTTTATATTAAATATAAACATACATGTGTCTAGGTTTATTTCTAGAAAATAAATTATATTGAAGGAAGAATACTGCATGATAGAATCAATCCTGGTTTAGTAAAACTAAAAGCAAATGATAATAGTACATCTATATGAAATATCCCTGGCCTGAAGGCCATATGACATTTTCTTGATTCAAGGCTTAATATTCAAAGCTTGGTCACAGTTATTCATCGGTTAAGGTTCATGAAGTTGGTCTGATTTATGGCTAATTCTGGCTACTACATGGAAACTGTGATTTCAGATGAATTATGATTATTTTTTTTCAGTCTGAGGCACTGACTTAAACTCAAGGCATAAAGAGTGTCTTTTGCCTCGATTTTTAACTAATTTTCAGTGAATTAGATATCTGGCAAGTAAGGGGGCAAGTCTGCCTCTTGGTACTCAAAGCATTAGTGTTAATTAAAAGTGAGTTTGACTCAACTTTCCGCATTCTCCAAAGAACTTTTCTTCTCAGCTTTATAAAAGTCAGATTATCTAGACAAATGTCTATGGGAACTATATCATATAAAATCTCAGGGCTTGACATGGACAGCTTCCATTATTCAGTACAGTAACAACCTCTGAAATATTCCAAAGAAGTGCATCTTCTCTCATGTTTATCTGGTCATTGGGCATTGTAATTTCTGTAATTTTCATGAAAGACTTTTTCTTACTGAAGCCAGAAATCCTTATTAACAATAAAGCAATAGAAACAAATTACTCAGAGGACATCAATGATGTTGAAAGATGATAGACTTATTTTCTGAAAGGGGGGAAATTCTGTCATTCTTGAAGGGTTACTGAGCCTTTCCAAACAAGTGTAGATAATTCTTGAAACTGAAACGATTCGCTATATACATTATTTCTGATTTTTAAATTGCCCTCAGTTTTAAATACCTTCACTCATAAGTCAATTGTGTTACCTTAATTTGTGTCACCAGAGGCAGTGAACTGAAGAGAGAAAATAGGAAGGATGACAGAAAAATCACAGCAAGAAATAAGATGATCCAAAAAAAACCATATTACTCCAAATTGCTAGTCCAGCTGAGTTGTACCTTCTGCAGACTCAGAGCAGATTGTAACTAAAGTGCAATTGCTTTTGTAGTTCTCTCACCCTGAAAACAGTCCAAAATGATCCATACAAAGCTAGGGCCAATTGCAGACAAGGCTGGTGCATCTGAAATCTCTGAGCATCCTCCTGAAGCTGTGCAATTTGCTGAAGAGTAAAGCATATTGCAGGCTTGCCCTTCAGAACCTCAGTGCATTTCCTGCTTCTGGAGAAACAGACATATGAGATCACTGGAAGAAAATCTCACTACACCACAATACTGAACCAAGACCATTATTGTTTTGCTAGCCCTGATGTTTCAGCTGACATGTGGTTTATAATGCTGTAAAATTATGGGTCAGGTAAACCTCATTGCAGCTCTTGGGTATAGCTGTCCCTCTTCATTTAAGATAGATGTAAGAAGTCATTATGCTCCTTTGCTGAAACAAGTAACTGAAATGACTTTAGTCTCTAAACC